AAGTTAAAAATGGCCCTGTCCCTCCTCTCTCATGGGACGGTGGAAAATATAGGCTGGGATTTTTCTTGAAGAAAACACTGAAAGAGAGGCATCACACTGTTACACACTTGCTTCAGAAATCAATGTTACCTTTCATTCCAAGTGCTTTAATCTTCCATTTGTCTGACATTGCTTAAAAGCTTCATGAATTAAGTTTGTAAGAGTGTTTATGACTGTAGCATGCTGTTGTGCTCAGAGTGTTAATACATGTGCCTCAGTGGGCAATGACTGTTCAATAGCAGAATTAGCATTGGCTGCCCATTAGCAGACAGCTGCAGTTCTCTCTACTGCTTGTAAAATGCCACCAACAGTGTTTCCTTTTTAACTGCATGTTACCAGTGGACAGACAGAGGTGCAGACACAACAGCAAGTGCATTGTTCATGTCAGAGATTTGGTATTTTAACGGAATGTGAACATTTGTATTATGCATGTATATAACTATATACAAATATGTGTGCACTGTTCCCTATGGAAGGTTATAAGGCCGGTAGTATTCTATATTTTTCTTATTTTAGCAAACCCCAGGAGAAGACCAAAGCCAACAGTGTAATAGTCTGTCTCTCAATACCTTCAGACTTCCCCACCCTATCTGTGGCTCTTACTGAAGATGTAAATAAATCTATCAGTTTCAGAATGATTCACATGAGCACTTTTTGATCTGTCTCCACTTTGGTTAAAGTTTGGTTATGTTCTTGGTAGGGCTGCTAACAATCTTCTGCTGTGTCAAGTCAAATACTTTGTTGACTCAAGCTTCCATGCTGATCTCCTCCTGTGATGTTGTGTTGTATACAGTGTAATGGAACATGTGCTGATTCAAACATGGCCCCCCAGCTGAAAGTTTAGTATCAAGCAAATGACATCAAATATTGTGATTAGTTTCCTTTGAACAAAACAACAGAAAATATTCTGCAGCAATGCTTTTGAATTTTTTTTCCTTTACAGTCAAATGGAACACTTTATATTCCTGTTCATCAACACAGCTTTAGATTTGTGATGTTAATCTGTGAACTAAAGCTTTCTGCTGCACTCGGTGAATCTCTCTGTATTACCATACAGTGCAGGTGTAAAGGAGAAGGCAAGTGTTAGCATCCTGTTGGTAGCTATAATTTTCCAGGTGTGAAGTTTATAATTGCTTGTGACTGTATTGTGTATTGTAAGCATGTTTGTTTACCCACAGGCCACTTAGCTTCCAACAGATCCCCAGAGCACTTCTCCGTATGTACCATACGGGTATGGGTAAGCTGCAAATACTGAGGGACAGATTGGCTGGTTGTCTGTTAATCCGGACAGTATTTGTTTATACATGCGATGACCCCCTGTCATGGTTTGTCTGCAGCCTGGATGAAACTGGATTTATCCGCCCAACTGCTCTGACAGGAATACTCCAAGGATGGAACAGTCATCCAAGTGGTCGTGTGATGAGAATGAATGAATGAAAATGCAGGAATAAGGGGGTAAATCATTTTATTAGGATGAAACTTTGACAGATTAATTTAGACCAAATACATCTTTTTGCATATCAGTAGAAACCATCTTTAGGCCCAACAAATAAAGTCAGAACTTTTTTTTCTTGCTTTATTGTGTTTTTTTCTACCGAGACATGAAAAATTACATTGACTTTAGGTTAGCTACATATAAAATATACCATAGCTTACCATTTTAAAGTCCTTCTCTCCATGCTTGTATTTTCTCGCACAATGTTGATTCGTTTCAAGATTCAGACAACCAACTGAACCCAGCACAATTAGCTATAAACAATCCTTTCTTACCTTTGTCTAGCTATCCTGTCCTTCGCTACTCATTTGTGTTTTCACACTTCTGACATGTCGTTTCACACAAATGTTTGTTCTTTATCAGGCACTCATAAGCTACACGAAAGTAATTTTATTCTAATTGAGTAGTGTACCACTGGCAGTTCAGCCACGACCAGTTCCAAAAACAATAATGTTCTGGATTTATTTATGCCAACATCAAGGAGGAAAGAAGGTGAGAAAGCCACGGGTCTGGATGGCATTATTTCAAGGTTTCTCAAGCCCTGTGCAGACCAGCTTTATGGGACAGTTGAGCACATTTTCAACCTGAGCCTGAAGGTCAGGAGAGCGCCACAAACATCCAGTGTGGTACCTGTACCAAAGACCCCAAGAACCTCAACAGCTACAGGCCGGTGGCACTGACATCACACCTGATGTAGACCTCAAAGAGGATGGTCCATCACCTCTTCCTGGTGAGCCCATCAGTCTACATTGTGCCTACAACTCCCCAATCAGCCTGGCATTGGATGAACGTGTGCTGTATAGCATTGAAGGCACTCGAGAATTTGATGGTGTAGTTACCTTTTCTGGGTCTCTCGCACAGCACTACACTTCTGATGACTCAGATTCAGATTGTCTGACAGGAAAAACATCAAATTACAAAGACTCACTGTGGTAGAAAAGCCAAAAACTCAAATATCAATTCCTATTGAATTTGACAAATAACAAACATTGTCAAATTCACATCCAGCAGTAAACATAAGCAATAGTGTTAGCTCGGCTACCCCTGTCATTTGCATGACCCTTGCTTTGCAGATTGTAGTAGTCCCTCGGGACTGTTCTCAGTAAATCGGAGATGTGGATGGTAATTAAAAGGTCAGTATCAAGGCTACTCTGTTTACAATGGAGACAGACAT